AAAATCAGTCATGATCTTTTTCTTTAAAAATGAATGGAATCACATGCCTTCATGTAGATTTTGGTTCATTCCACAATGAAAAGATCTTACACAAATCTACATACACCTATGAGAGGGGTAATTAACACAAGATAAAGATTAATATTGCAATCATACCTATGTGTAAAAAATTCTATATTTAAAGAGGCCTCTGACTCAAGAAGGGAAAAAAATTAGTACTTAGGTATACACAGTACACCAAAATAAGAAACCAAATCTTGTTGGAAGAATAACTTACCAAATTTTGCTAACAAATTACACACACACAAACGCACACACAGTATTTCACAAAAGCATAGCTTTTGGTATAGAAAAAGAAACAGAAGCTCATTCAATACTCAGCAAATATTTATCAAGCATATGTTATATGCCAGGCACAGCTCCAGTAACTGAAATATATTATGGAACAAAACATGTAAAGATCCCTGCCCTTAAAGAGATTACATTCTACTAGGAGAAACTCTAAATAATAAAATAGGATAGTTTCCCACAAATTTAGTATACGCTTAGGAAAACTACACTTCTTAATAATTTAATATTTCAATCAAATCTATATCATCTTTCACCATTCCCAAAATTATAAAAAGTACACTATTTACAAAAACTGTAATTAATTTCATAGTTCATAAGATAATTTGGGGTTTTGTAAGAAGTCAACAGGAAATGCAGTGATTATGAGAATGGGCTTTTGTGACATTAAAGGCAAGAGTCTGATTCTACCCCTTCCAATTACTAGCAGTGAGACCCTCCAGTTTCTTCATTTGAAAATAGAAACAATAATACTTCAAAGGGCTGCTACAAGGATTAAATGAAAACCAAAAACTAGAAAAAACTCAAAATTCAACAACAGATGGATGGATGGATGAATATACAGGGCGTGGGGAAACGCAGGTTTAGTCGTGAGTATGCAAAACAGTTTCTTCTTATATTATTATTTATTTTTGTGTTATTTATTTGTACTACAACTGTAAACCTACTTTTGCCCACCCTGTATTACAGCATGTAAATTCACTGAGATCCTATTCAGTAATAAAAAGGAATGGACTGATATATGCAACAAGGATGAATCCTTAATGCATTATGCTGAGCAAAAGAAGCCAGACACAATAAAGCATGTATGATTCCATTTATGTGAAATTCTAGAAAAGACAAAACTAATCTATAGAGAGAAAGCAAATCAGTGGTTCCTTAGAACTATTGGTGGAGAGGGACTGACTTGCAAAGGAATACAAGGGAACTTTTTGGGTGTTTAAAATGTTTCTATATCTTGACTGTGGTGTTTCCATCAGTGTATACATTTGTCATAATTCATCAAATTTTATGCTTTAAATGGGTACATTTTATTGTATGTAAATTATACTTTAAAAAGCTGATTTTAAAAAGGATTAAATAAGATAATAATGTAAATTCTTGGCACAGTACCTGGTGCACAAGAAGTATTCTAAAAATGTTATGTTAAAAACATCAACTACTACTATACAAACTCATGGGGAGGTGACAGAACTACTGATCACCTGATCTTTCTGGTTGTTTAGATTCTAAATAAACATAAGTTTACAGTATTTGACCTAGACCAAGTACAACAGGAACACTACAGAGACCAAGTTATAGAAAGATGCCAAATGGCATACAATGAAAACAAAAAACATTAAGAAAAGTAAAAGATGCCTGCATGTTCAAAGGAAAAGAGAGAGGTAAGAGAATGGTTAGTAGTAATAGAGTACTACCAATGCCAAAGAACACCTAGATTTATTGCAGTATTATTTATAATAGTTGAGATAAGGAAGTAACCTAAGTGTCCACCAGCAGACAATTAAGTAAAGAAGATATGGTGCATATATATATAATGGAATATCACTAGGCCATAAAAATGAAATTTGCCAACAGCATGGATAGACCTAGAGGGCACTGTACTAAGTGAAATAAGTTAGACAGAGAAAGACAAGTACTATATAATTTCACTTATACACGGAATCTAAAAACACCAAAATAATTGAACAAACAAAACAGAAACAGACTCATAGATACAGAGAACAAAATGGTGGTTGCCAGAGGGGAGAGGGTTGGGCGACTGGATGGAAAAGGTGAAAGGATTAAGAGGAACAAATTGGCAGTTACAAAAGAGTCATGGGGATATAAAGTACAGCATAGGGAATATAGTCAATATCAACGTAATAATCGTATAGTGTCAGGTGGGTACTAGACTTTTTTGGGGGGATCAGTTATATGGATGTCTAACCACTATGCTGTACATATATAAATACCTAACCACTATTCTGAAACTAATATAATAGTGAATGTCAACTGTAATTGAAAAATTTTTTTAAATGAAGATTAAAAAATAAAATTACAAATAAAGGAAACACCTAGATTACCTCATCTAGGTATTATCGAAATGTAACTCAAAATTAAGTCAAAGACTATACATAATTTAATGATAGTCTAATAGCTACACAGGGACAGTCCTTAATTTTATTGGGGGAGGGGAGCATGTCCATGAAAGCCTTACAGTGAAATCAAAGGATTCTGCCAACCAATCAGAAAAGGGGTCATGGTCATATTGTGGACAGTTTAGAAATGTTAAGCAACAATTATAAATCCATAAGCCAAAGTTTTTTCTGTGTGTTTTTTTATTTGCAAGTCCATGGGATTTAAAATTAATGAAGGTAACTAATTAGAAACATGTTGACAACTGAAGTTGAATTAAAATACAACTCAAATGAAACAAAACATTTACAAATTTTATATTTTATTGCTAAGTAACAGAAATCCTGTAAGTAAGACCAGAAGAACTGAATTGGCTGTCACTCATGAAAGCACAAGTCTTCTGACTTATATGTTAATTTTTAAAAGAAAAAACTAGTACCCCATTTAGACATTCTGGGAAGCAAAAGAATTTAGACTATATATAAATCTTAACTGTCTGGGTTTGTTTAGTTTTGCTTTAATTTTAAGAACTTCCACTTGTAACATTAAAAAGGCAAAAAGGATAAGAAGTCCTGGCTTACAACTCTAGTTCTATCAGAATTTGGATTTCTTCTTCCCTAGAACTGGGGAGATGAAACAAGCTTCTAAAAATAATACAACTTTAGCGCTGGTGTACAAAATTGTGATGGGGTTAAAGATTTATTTTTAATACATCATTAGAAACAACTAAACTGCAAGTTTTCTTCCCAAATTCAGATAAAATACCAAGACGTGTGGCAAACTAAGAACCTAAAGCAGTAACTAAATAAAATGTTCATCACTGTTCACAAAAAGCAACATATCTTCCAGGGGCTAATTGTTTATCCTACAAGTTTTTCCCAAACCAAAATAACAGAATCTAAGTAGTTACATATAATACGTATTGATACTTTAAGGCGTATAAGCCACCTTTCTTTTGGGGTCAAAACCCACAAAATAAGATTAACAGAAATTTAACTTTGTGGAATCCAAAGTTGTGTTGTTTAAAGTTCAATTAAATTAATTCTTGTATACACTATAACTTTATCTTTCCCATGGAACACTGAGCCAAGTTAGAAACAAATTTTATTCAAAAAACAAAAACAAAGAGAATTTTCATATATGACTTTATTCTAATCTTTCAGCATAAATGTTGGGTTTTCATCTTATTTACTTATAAGAAGTTGAATGTCCGTCCTGATAGTGCGGCCATGTTCATTTTCTACGGAAAGTGCAAAATTTTCAAGTAAACACCAAAGAGAAATGTGATTAAATCACAGCAGAAAAGTAGTAATGACAGGGTAATATAATGAGGTCACAACTCGAGCAGCCAATCAAAGGCATAAAAGCATTTCCTGCAACATTAATAGTCAAAAGAGAAAACCAATCACAGAAACCTTGCGCCTTCTTTTGACAGTCACCGAAACAAGAGAACCAATCCACGAACACCCGGGGTTGACAATAAGGCGGGACTGCAGGTTCATTGAAGAAATTCTTGAGGGTGCAGTTACTATAAACTTCTCATGCAAGTAACACCACTCCACAGCCATAAACACTGTCACACCAGATAAAATTCAACCGTATGCAAAATGTAACCCATCGGGGAGAAAAAGCAGCATTTTTGCCAAAATGCACTGCGTTACCAAAACTGCAACTCTCAATTTAGATGCACTAGGTCCTCAACTTCTTAAGACTCCCGTTCCGAAGACAATTCCCGGGGAGGCGGCCTAGGGACAGCACACCGCCCGCAGCTCGTCGCTGAACATCCCTGCGTCCTTTCTAGGGCTGCGCACTAAGCGGGCGCCGTCCGAGCCAGGCAAGCAGGGCTGAGACACCGAGCTAGCAGGTCTGCGAGACTCTAACGCTACACCCCGCAAGGTAGTCGCGGCCTCCGCCCTGCCTCGCCGCAGTGCCGCACCGCCTCATGCCGCTGCACCACCACGGCCGGGGAACGAGGATTAAACCTTGCTAGGAGGAAGATGTTTGTTTTGAAAACACTTTACTTCCCATAAGTCATTTCAAAAACAACCCAATGCAAAACTAAATTTAAAAGCGAAAAGTCAAAGCTTTCCCAGCCAAAGGCACCCTGGCCCACTAGTTAACCCAGTGTCGCCGGTGGAAAAAAAAAAAAAAAAGGAAAGGAAAA